CACACACACACACACACACACACACACACACACACACACACACACACCATTCTCAGGACATTTACTTCCCATAACTCTGCTTATCTTGTTCTCCCCTTGAGGGGCCTTACTAAGACCTGTATATTGAGAAGAAGTCTCAGTCAGGGCAAGCAACAGTATACTCAGCAGTACCTGAGAGATCCCCAGTGATGGAGGAAGTGCCAAAGTAGTATCCCCGGGGCAGACGGACCCCAGGCACCTCAATGCAGTCCCTCCACTCATGCTTGCCATCAATATCCATCATTACCTAGAATTAAAAAAAAGAGAGAGAGATCAGGAGTGGGCCACAGGAACAAGAGTTACAACTCACATTGCCAACTGACCTCATTGAGAAACTCACGGTCAGATGCCTCTTGACGTAGCGAATCACCAGGAAGGTGTCATAGTGGAGATTGCGAACAATGGCAGTGCAGCCCCCCAGCTCTGTGGGCCGTCCATCCCGCTCATGATCATAGCTGAGGGAGCCGTTGTTCACCATAGTGGAGATGTAAGGGAATACCCGCTGGGACACAGAAAGGAAAGTGCAAAGACAGTGAGGAAGAGCTTTTAGGAATGCCTGCACAAACAAGGGTTTTGCATATCATAAGCGGAGCGCTTTCCAGCAGACCAGAGGACCACTCTGCCGCCTCATTAGCAAACCCCCAAGCACCCACATACAGATGGTCATTCCAGGGAAATGGGCCCAGGAAGCCAATGAACCCCATATTCATCTTTACCCACCTTTCTTCAGATCTGGAGTAGGCCTGAAATGGCCCCTGGCAGTCTCTGGAGTCAAAATTGAGTCCTCCTCCCCTCATTTGCTAATTATATACTGCCCAATACTAAGGGTTTCCTTTTCATGAATATACAACTATCAACCCCAACTGCTTCTTGGAGAAATAAATTATTTATAATGCTTTCTTCTAGGTCTCTATTTCAGCCCTATCCTTTCGCCAATGCAAAGCATGAAACTATTTGACTAGGCAGGGAAATCTTTCCATTCAAGATAGCTCTTTCACACTCTAAAATCCTACCTGTATATGATGCCGAATGATTAGGACTAAGAAGGCACCTCTGCAAAGGGCTGCCAGATGGGCTTATCCAACTACAATGACTATTTTAAGTCAAAACTTTCCAGCCCATCACAGATAACTTCTAATAATGGTAATAATAAGAGGGCAAGTTTCCTCATTCCAAATCCCCTCCAGAAAAAAATGGAAAGCCTCCCTATACCCTGCTCAGTTTCCTACTTTAAAGTCCTCTTTCTCCAACAGCGTGGTAGGAGAACATTCTTCCTTAAAATTGATAAACTAATCATTCCAGAGTGAGCCCAGTGCCCTGAGAGGCAGGCTGAAGGAAGGGGAAAGTGACACGTGGCATGCTGCTCCTTGGGTGAGCTCCCCTTTGTCCTAGAGGGTCAACATGCAAGGTAGAGATGCAGTGGAGACCAGAGACTGTGGACTCCTGAAACAACAGCCACATGGACTCTAAGCAGGAACAAATGCTTTGTTGACACATGAGAATAAGGATGGACATGATGGGTCAAGAACCCAGTACCTGGACTCCTGGAGAATATCGCCTCTTCTGGGCCTGAGAGGGTCCAGCAGGTTATTATAAAAAACAAGAGGGCACAGAAGACAGGAGACCAAGTCAGAAAGAAATAGCCATAGAAGAGCTATGACTCTGCTGTGATAGATGAACAAATCATCTAAATCCCCACAGAATTTCAGGGTCCATGAGGAGCATTCAGCAGGTCCTAAAACCCCTCAAAATCATATGCAAAACAATATGCACAATTGCTTGTACATCTTTTTGAGAAGGTCTGCTACTGTCATCAATTCTCAAAGGAGTTCCCTGGGAAGACTTCTCTCCCCCATGGAGGGTTCCTGAAGTAGTAGAAGCTTTAGAACACACAGTATTAACACTGGCCACTTGTGTTTCTGGGAATCAAGAGCCACAAACAAGTCTATCTGTACTCAGATTACTGTAGTTCTGTAGTAAGTGGAAGGATAGGAGAGACTAAATTTCTCTAAGTTTGAAATGTCTTTTACTTCCCAGGGCCTCAGGATATAGCTCTTGCCCAGCAGACAAAAATCCCACTGTTTTGAGAGACTATGAAATTAACCCTAATCCACAGAGATCATTTACCCTCTAATTGAGCTTTATGGACATATACTTCTAAATAACTGTTGTCATTCTAACCTACAACACAAGGGGAAGGGAGAAGCTCCGTGGGAGCGTCAAAGCATAAAAAGATTTACAGAAATCACCAGGCTCAAGGACATTTAGCTGTGCTCCAGAAAGCTACCACAGCTCTAAGCTACCAGCATCAAGAGAAAGCTGCCCAAGTTCAACTAAGCCTTATCCATGGGATGGACAGGTGAGGCGTGGAGCCCAAAGCCTTCACTCTTCTAATCCTTAGTGAGAACCCATTGCAAGCCAGACACTGTTCCAGATGCTGGGGGAACAATGGGAAATGAGCCAGGTAGCTGCTTTCAAGTGGAAGACACAAACTAAATAGGTAAATAAAATAATTTCTGATCGTGATAAAGGCAATGATGAAAATAACAGGCAAAGGGGCTAGGTATGTGGCTTTGTGGTAGAATGCTTGCCTAGCATGCATGAAGTCCTGGGTTCGATTCCTCAGCACCACATAAGCAGAAAAAGCTGGAAGTGGCGCTGTGGCTCAAGTGGTAGAGCGCTAGCCTTGAGCTGAAGAGCTGAGGGATAGCGCCAAGGCCCAGAGTTCAGATCAACAACAACAAAAAAGCAGAGCACCAGCCCAAGTATGTACATACACCACACACACACACACACACACACACACACGCACACACGCACACACGCACACACGCACGCGCGCGCGCGCGCATGCATGGCAGGCCTGGAAATGTTGGTCAGTGGTAGAGTGCTTATCTAGGACATGGGAAGACCTGGGTTCAATCCTCAGCCCTAGGAGAGGAGGGAGGGAGGGAAATCTAAGAGCTGTGATGACCCCAAGGCTTGTTTCATTTGTTACACAATACCCTTGATAAGAAGTGTGAGCTGCAACTTTCTAAAGTACCCAGGACAGAAATCCTTAGTCTAAGGGTACCTTAATCTTTCTAAGGCTACAGTGGCATCCAACTATCCAGCGAGGTATAAGCCGGGCCTCAACAGCTAGATAAAAACCGGGCCTCAGAAAGATCTGGGGTCTGACACCAGTGGCCACATAAATAATCCTAGCTTATCAGGAGACTGGGACCTCAGGATCAAAGTTTAAAGTCATCCCAGTCAGGAAAGTTTCAGAGATTCTTATTTCTGTGTAACTAGCAAAAAGTGGAAAGTGGAGATGTGGCTTAAGCAGTAGAGCACTAGCCTTGAGCAAAAGAGCTATGAGTACCTAAGTCGTGAGTTCAAGCCCCAGTATTAGTCCACATATGCACACAAAAAAATCTCCCTGGAAAGTTTTCATTTACATATATAGGTGAGTACCCCAAACTCTCTCTCTATATTTTTTTTAAGTTGTTGTTGCTAGTGTATGCGTGTGAGTGATTACACATGTATGTGTGAGCTTTTCATTTACATATACATGTGGGTGCCTCAAAATCTATAAAGGAATGTATTTTTTAAAGTTGTTGCTGGTGTGTGTGTGTGTGTGTATGTACATATGTACGTATGTGTGCAACGCTGCATTAGACAGCCCCACAGCTCCACTGCAATTTGTCTGCTTCAGCAACTCATGACTTGGCCCTCAACTTTTAACCTCACATTAGTAACAAGATGTTAAATACCAGCTTATATTCCATTCTTACGCAGGAGTTCTTCAAACACTTTTTGGGTAGCCACTAATTTCACATGTCAGATTTTCTCCCTCTCTAAAAAGATAGACTGGTACCAACAGTTGAAGAATTACAATGATTCTGGCAACGTGGCAATTTTACTCCCAATTTAAGAATTACCAGAAATAAGAAACTCCTTCCTATTGTTCGTAGCACCAAGAAATGTTTCCAACATTTTGTACATCAGTTCTTTTTGTGGGCTTCATGTTCGTACTTGGCATTTTCATGCAAGGCTGGCACTTTTATCACTTGAGCCACAGTGCCACTTCCAGCTTTTTGGTGGTTAACTGAAGATGAGAATATCAGATTTTTCTGCCCAGACTGGCTTTGGACCACAATTCTCAGATTTCAGCTTTCTGAGTAGATAAAATTAAAGGTGTGAACCACCAAATTTCCTTCTTTCTTTCTTCCTTCCTTCCTTCCTTTTTTTTTTTTTTTTTAGGTCTGGTCGTGGGGCCTGAACTCTGGGCCTGGGCATTGTCCCTCAGCTCTTCAGCTCAAGGCTAGCGCTCTACCACTTGAGCCACAGTGCCACTTCCAGCTTTTTTTCTTTTTGCTTATGTGGTGTTGAGGAATCGGCCTCATGCATGCAAGGCAAGCGCTCTACCACTGAGCCAACTTCCCGCCCTTTTTCTTTCTTTCTTTCTTGCCAGTTATGGGGCTTGAACTCAGGGTCCTGATGCTGTCCCTGAGCTTCTTTTGCTCAAAGCTAGCACTTGAGCCATAGTGCCACTTCCAGCTTGCAGGGCTTCTACTTCTACTTCCAGGGCTTCATGCATGCTAGGCAAGCACTCTACCACTAAGCCACATTCCCAGCCCCTAAATATAATTTTTTTTAAAAAGTTATTTTGGTGCTGCTAGGGATAGTACCCAGAGCCTTGTGTATGTTCGGCCACTGTGTTTGCTCTATCTCTAGCCCTTAACAGACTAATCTTACTTCCAGCACATCTTGATTGAAGATGTACCCATCCAAAGCTTGTAGACTTATGGAGTCTGTGTTAAAAACTTTATAAGTCCAAAGCACACAAGCTGAGAACCCCTAATAAGAAAAGGCCAAAAGGAGAGTTAGGTTCTAACTGCATCACACCATTCAGAACTGCAGTCTTTATGTGGCCTGTATCACCTCTCTGAGAGTCAACTTCCTCACTAGAAACAAGGAAAGTCATACACTGAGCTCACAGGGTTAATCAGGAGGATGAACTGGCATGTATAGAGCTTTTAGTATGGTGTCTAACATTAAAAAGATCAATAAATATTCAACCAAAAGCTAAATTAATGCATACTGAACAAGTGTTCTACCACTGAGCTATTATATCCCCAGCCCTAAGTTTCTTTTTTAAAATTATTCGTATTAAATATGTTAAAATACAATAATGATAAAACAATCATCTATAATAAAGCAATCATTTTACAAAGCATATTTAAACTTCTCCTAAAAAAGAATGAACTCATCATTTCATAAAATAGGAAGTGAACACATTTAGCACTTATGAAAAAATCACTTCACTATTTTGATTCTTTTTTTTTTTTGGTTGTGGGTCTTGAACTCTGGCCCTGGGCACTGTCCCTGAGCTCTTCAGGTGAAAGCGAGTGCTTTACCACTTGGCCACAACGCCACTTCCAGTTTTCTGGTGTCTCACAGAAGTTCTGCCTGGGCTGGCTTTGAATGGCGATCCTCAGATCTCAGGCTCATAAGTAGCTA